TTGATGTCCTCTCCATAGACACTGGCAGCAAACCCGAGGCGTCGCTGATCCCCGGCAGCATGCGGCCTCTTCTTTCTCGCAGCAACACCTTTTTAAACAAGGGCAAGTTGCTGCTGCTGCTGCTGCTGCTCTTCTGCTGCTGCTGCTCTTCTGTTGCTGCTGTTGCTGCTCTTCTGTCGCTGCTGTTGCTGCTCTTTTGCTGCTGCTGTTGCTGCTCTTCTTTTACTGCGCGTGTTTCGTTGCTGCTGCCGTTCTGTTGCTGCTGCTTTTCTGCTGCTGCTGCTGCTGCTGCTGCTGCTGTAGAGTGCATGGTAGGGTGTATGCGTTGGTTTGCTGCTGCTGCAGGGTCTCTAGATGGGGAGGCCTCAACGGCTGAGCCTGAGCTGGGGCCTGTACCTGCTGCTGCAGCAGGTGCTGCTGCTGCAGCAGAGGATCAGCAGCGGGAGCCGCAGCAACTGTCTCCTTGTGGCTGTCCTGCTTCTGGTAGCAGCAGCAGCAGCAGCAGCAGATATTGCTGCTGCTGCGTCTGCCCTAAGAGGCCTATTCAAGGTATTGTATCTCGTTGGTTGCTGCTGCAGCAGCAGCTGCAGCGAGCGTGGCAGCAGGCGGTTGACAGCAGCACATGTGGCGCTGCTGCTGCTGGTTGTGCTGCTGGTGCTGCTGGTACTGCTGCTGCTGCTGCTGCTGCTGCTGCTGACCTACAGGGTCCCCCCCGCAGCGAGAGCAGCACCAGCATAACCAGCAGCAACTGCAAGCTAGACGCAGAGGCTGTCTTCAGGGTACTGGTGATAGGGGGGGGAGCTGTGGGTGTGGAGATGGCGCTGGTGCTGCAGTACGCGGTGCAGCAGCTGCTGCGTTCGCTCGACCAGCAGCAGCAGCAGCAGCAGCAGCAGCAGCAGCAGCAGCAGCAGCAGCAAAGTTCTTCTGCTAAGAAAGAAGGCAAAACGCCGCCGCTGAAGGCCGAGGTCATCCTCGCCACCAGCGGACCCGAAATCCTCACGGGATACTCAAAACGAGCGCAAGTATGCTGCTGCTGCTGCTGCTGCTGCTGTTGCTGCTGCTGCTGCTGTTGCTGCTGCTGCTGCTGCTGTTGTTGCTGCTGATGGGGAGGATGATGATGATGATGATGCAGGCGGGATGGTGGTGGTGTTGATGGGGGGTTGTTGTGGTCCGGGGTTGTGTCTTCCTATGCGGCTGCAGCAGAGTGTGCTGCTGCTGCTGTTGCTGCTGGTGTTGTTGCTGCTGTTGTTGCTGCGACTGTGTTGCTGCTGTTGTTGCTGCTGCTGTTGCTGCTGCTGCCGCTGCTCCATCTCCAAGAGGAATTTCTGTTAGTTTTATCTGCGCTTTTACTCCTGCTGCTGCTGCTGCTGCTTCTGCTGCTGCTGCTGCTGCTGCTGCTGCTGCTGCTGCTGCAGTCAGTGCTCCGCAAGCTGCTGGTATCCCGCGGTGTATCTGTATTAACAAACTGTCTGGTTGAGCGGCTGGAGGAGACAG